CTAGGGGTTAAATACATGGTACAAACAAAGGGAACTAATAAGATGATTAACCAGATCACAGATGAGGGGATGAACTCATGAACATGAAATGAGACCAACTGACTGAAACAAAAACATAATGACACAGAGAGCATATATCTTACAATTACTATGAAGTAATTTGAAAAATTATTCATAATGTTTATCCATGTGAGAGTGTATTTCATTATTTCTTCAGTCTGTGCCAGGCTGTTCTGACGGTAAGCATGTGAAAAAGAAAGAAAGAAAGAAAGAAAGAAAGAAAGAAAGAAAGAAAGAAAGAAAGAAAGAAAGAAAGAAAGAAAGAAAGAAAGAAAGAAAGAAAGGGAGGGGAAAAGTACAAGAGAGGGCGTGCGCCTGTGAGTGTTTGTGTGCACTTGGTTTAGTGATATGTGTCTGTCCTTGTATGTACCCTTGACACCTCATGTCACTGAGTATAGTTATGTCTGTACTCTGTGTCCAATCGACTTCTTGGTTGTGGTGCTGTCCCCTTCTCACACACAAACACATAAACCTACATGATTTTAACTTCATCCTCCCTGTCTCTACTTTTATCAGTAATAATCGCGCACACACACACACACACACACACACACACACACACACACACACACACACACACACACACACACACACTGTATAACACAAAAGAAGATATTTTGAAGCATTAGTTTTTTTGTGAAAGTTGATGGGGTCTAACACAAAATTGGACCCCATTGGCTTTTTTATTATATAGACAAAAAACACTGAAACATAAAAATAAAAAAGTCTATTCCACTAATGGGAATTTTACATATGGGAAAAATATGTGTATTTTGTCTGTATACTGTTGACGCTAACATAAACGTAACAAATAACATTTATATAACTACTGTGCAACTACAAGGCAGCATGGAAAATTAACGCAAATTTTCCAGAAGCACGGAGCACGGCAATACATTTATTGAACAAAGATGAAGATAAACACATGCTCCCCATTTAGTATTGGAAATTGGAGTGTTGTTAAGCTATCAAGTTATGTCTTATCTACAGTAATGAGGAAGACTAAAGAACGTGTCAGTGAAAATAGAAAGTGAGAGCAAACCAACACCACTTTAGCATGTGTGGTGTGACTGCTCTTACTCGGAACCTCAATGTGTCTGTATTTTTAGCCGTAGTGACCTTCTTAAACACGCCATTGCATGAGGTCAAAGCAATAGCGGACATTATGCTGATAGTGAGACGTGAGAGACACCCAGACCAGACCCTGTGATTGATATGGCTTTTTTGGCTTTTTAATATTGTTGGACATTTCAATATTAGCTCAGCTTCTGTTAACATATTTAACCATTAAAAAATCTTTTTGGCAGAATTATACAGATTTTTCCCATTCAATCAACTAGGGATGCAACAATACAGTTAGCCCACGATTCAATACATACCTAGGTTTTTTAAACACGGTTTTCGGTTCGGTTCGGTTCGGTTCTGACGGTTCTATGCTTAGGCAATAGGAACTGTAAGAGGTTAAGGAGAAAAAATAAAAACGATTTATTGCAATACTCCTTTATTTTACTTAAAAGCTAAGAAAAGTCCACTAGTTCCTAGTGTATTGTATAATATAAAATTAACACTGACATTTCACAGCTGCTGGTAGCCCATGTACAAACTGGGGAACACATAAATTCCAAAATTTTTAAAATAAACATACATGTGAAGTTGGTAAACATATGATGATGGTGCCGCAGATGTGCAGTCATGTAGGAAGTGTTTCCGTTTGAGTAGGCTACACGTGTAAAACAATGCTTGCACACAGTCATTTTTTTGTTTACCCTCTGCATTATACTCAACGGCAAACCGAAATGTCCCCACACCACGGATTTGAAAAACGCCGGCGCTTCCTCGTACTGTAGCCTCACTTCACCGCCACTCGCCATGTTAAAGTGTGGAATGATGGTTAAGCCGTGTGCTAACTTTAGTTTAAAGCATAGTGATTGAATATTTACTCGCGGAGAGGAGTTTTCTCATCTCAGCTCGTAGACTTACAGGCACACACAAACAGTCAATTCGAAGAGAAATAAAACGCACATAAATTATTTAAAAATAATTGATTCACAAGCGCGTATTGAACCGTGGATGTCATACCGAACGGTTCAATATTATATTGAGAATTGTGGCATCCCTACAATCAACACAGATAATGTGGAAAAACATGTGTTGGTTCTAGGGTTCAAGTCCTTGATTTAAAAAAAAAATCCTCGATTGAAATTTACCTGTGTCGAGTAAAGCCGGGACACACTTAACGACTGTTAGGCCGAATACTCTCTTTCTGCGCGAGAGTGCCCTCTGGCTTTCAGAATTGACCACTCGCCGGCCCCTCCCCCAAAACGGCCATGGTCCAATCACACATCATAGCAACCATTACTATGTGAGCAGGTCCGTCAAACATTGACTCCAAGCAAGGTAGTGAAGCATTGCGCCCACGGCGTTTGTAAATCGGACACTAGGTACCCCGAGAGATTACACAGCAGTGTAAGAGCAAGACTGGTCCACAAGGCTGTGCTGGTTCCATTTGAGGGACAGGTCATGGGGTTTCTCTGATTTCGCTTGAGACCGGTAAGGATTAGCCTCGATAGTAGTCGTGTCTCCTTCATTTCGAATTTTTATATTTTGAATATATTCCTCCACTGCATACTGTAACCCCTTTTGCCTCGATCTGGAGGGAGTATTGATCCAAAAGGGTCACTGACACACACGGGTATACTTCTTCCCGTCATGGCAATCTGTCGCGCTGGTCGTGTTTGACCATTTGTTTGTCGGACGTAGCAACAGTAACCAAGGGGGGGCGGGGCTCGGCGAAAGGCTAATTGACTACTGATCACAGAGCCGTGCTGCACTGACAAGCTGCGCATAAAGTAATTGCAGCCTTTGCCAAATCACGTGCGGTTCAATTTCGATTAATCGTGAAGCCCTACTGCAATTCAATTGAATAAATATATGCACTTAAGACAAAACTCACCATGTTTTTGAGGATACTTATCAAAACAGCATTTTGACATTTTGTGTATAAGCTATTTGACCGTTCAGGCTCAATCAGAAGCCCACAGTATACTTTGCTTAAGTGAACAGGGTCTCTTTCGCAGCTTAATGCGCTTTTAATGACACTGTTTAGTCAGGCACGTATCGCAATTTAGCAACAGTAGACTGCATTTTACAACACTCACTTATTCAGCTGGTTTGGATGTTAAGTTTGGCTTAGGGAGGAACGAAAGTGCACCGCTGAATGTGGCAGTGGCACAATAATCATTTTACCTCAATTATCTTGTTTTCATAATCGTTGGAAGCCAAAATCGAAATTGAAAATCAATTTTGGATTACTTGCACAGCCCTAGTTTCAGTCCATATATTTGTAGGTTAACATAGCTGTTTATTACTCTATACTGTTAAATTAATATAAATTCATTATATAATACGGTATGATTCTTATGTAAAGTTAGTTAAAAAAATTGTATACTAGGTTATTCAGCACCAAACTGTGTGTGTAAGAAAAAAGAGGTGAAAACAGAGAGAGAGAAAAGAAAAACAAAGGTGACAGATTTCAATGAGTTTTTTTTATAGGTTTGGACTGACATACCGTAAAACTTCAAATAATAGCCGAGTCCCAAATAGACGCCTGTCTCTTTTACACGCCTGGTGTGGCTGCAGGTTTGGGTAAATAAAGGCCGGTCTCAAATAGAGGCCGGGTCTGTTTTTTAGTTTCGGGTTGTATTTAATCCTCTAAAACCGTCAGATCGTCCGCTTTTAGGCGGCCGCCAAAGCAAATTTTTGTCCCTCCAAAGCCTTTTTTGATCGATGAGTGATGTAGAATAGAATGACTGCTGCGCTTGACAGGGCGCGTTAGAGAGACAGCGCCCCGGCCGCGCGCGCGCACTCTCACGTCTTCAAACAACACGAGCGCTGTCTTGCTCTCTCTCCCTCGCGCATATTAATCAAAATCAATTGACGCGATAGTAAAAGGTCGGAAGACCGCAGTTTCACGTGGAGCATTTGGAGATTTTTAGAGATTAGAGACAGGCCTATACACTCAATGAACAACATCTCAACACTAAATTAAAAAGGCCTGTCTCATATAGACGCCTGTCTCAAATACAAGCCGGTGCAGTTCGACGATTTGGGAAAATAAAAGCCCGGGCTACTATTTGAAGTTTTACGGTAATGCATCGCCTCAGCTCTCCATTGGAAGTTTTTTTTTTTTTACTCTCCTTTACACAAAGATGTAAATGTACAAAATTTGACCACTTGTTCTAGACAGCCAAGAAAATATCAGAAATATGCCCTTCTCCTAATCTCAGTCATTTCGTTCACTTTTCCTTTCTCACTATGTGTGTGGTGACAGAATTGGCTGCCATCATCAGAACAGAATAATGATACTGAATGACTCTCTTTAACTCAGAATCTTTCCATCATTCCTTAAGCAATAAAGCAGTTATTACCCTTCTTTAGAGACCTGGCACTTGCATTAGGATAAAGTCACCTCTATTTACCTCCATCATTTGGCCACTGACACACACAGGCACATGTACCATCTTTCAATTGTGCATTTTCACAGGGAATGTCATCTCTGAGTGCTGGACCTGCAAATTACTTTTCTAATTTAAGCAGCCGGACACTGGATAATTGATGTAAAACTTTAGAGATATTCGGCTGCGACCTACCTACACAATTTTTTATTCTGTTCAATTATGTGAATGTGCATGTACATGTGGATACAAATACGCACCCATTACTCATATATTTCTGTGCTTGTTTGGATGAGAGCTGGTAAGCTTGTCCTGTTCAAATTACTGATAATGGATCACATATTTGTTCTTCACAATTGACATTACAGTGAAAGAACAAGTTCCATGTTTGCAGTATATTTGTTTTCCTCTGACATAAATGTTCTGTTCTTTTATATCAGCAGTGTTTTGTCATGCCATTAGTTTATACTGTGTTTTTATTTTTAGGTTTGATGGGGGGAGGAGTGACATTTTCCCAATGGAGTTTTTCCTTCCTCCTCAAAGGACATGCCTAATCTGCTCTGATGAAGCATCTGGATGTCACTATGGAGCCCTCACTTGCGGAAGCTGCAAAGTGTTCTTCAAGAGAGCTGCTGAGGGTAACAAAAACACACCCATTAATAACAATAACACAAGTCTGGCTTTGGATTGTATTAATGGATAAATATATTCACCGTATGTGAAGACTTTATTCACTTTAATTAGAACTTTTAACTACAGCTTTAAACTGTCATTAAAGCCACATTAAATGGCGATCTAGTCTTTTCACAAATGAATTTACTTTTGACCATGTGTCTAGGACAGCTTTTATTGTTTTTAATAATGTTACTGAAAATAGCAACAATTGGCACATAATACACAGACATTCAGAAATTCAGTTGTCTCAACTACACAAATTACGGACACATTCTTTCCCTGTTATGGAACCCAAAAGAAAGTGTTGCAGTGAAAATCAAATACGTACAACCTTAGAAAGTACAGACTTGGCTGTGATGTGTGCAAAGACTTGCCATACAAGTATCAGTAATCAGTGATACTCACACAAAGAGACTTATCCATCGACTTGAGCATTATTCATGTCTCTTATTCTTTTCCTCCCCCCATTGAAAATGAAGTAAGAAATGTTTATTGAGCAGGAATAAATTGCATCACAAAATGTATTAAAATAGAAAACAGCTATATAACAAAGTTGAATTAATAATGTTTAGGCTATATAAACCATGTTCATCATGGAAATAAATCTACTTTAAGGTGCAGAGTAAAATACACTCTTCTGATAAACTGATGACCTTTTTACTTTGAACACCCACCGTGATTGTGGAACAAAACAGTTTATCAAAGTTAAGAGGAGTAACAATGTATCTCAGTTTAATCAAATACAGAAATATCACACTATTATGTTTCAACAGTTGTCAGTTGAGACAGAGAGAGACGTGGGACAATATACTAAGAGAAGTCGTATACTGGCCTCCTTATTGTCATTTATGAAAATTTTTAGATCGATTTGCTAGGTTAGGGAGGGCTTTCTGAATTTGTGCAATTTGTGAGGTGAGGTGTGCATTTTTTGTCCAACTTAGCATCAATAGCAAAAAAGAATCACTGTTTTCAAACAGGTTTCCTGGACACAGACAAAAAGTATTTAAGTATAAAGTATTTAAGTATTATTACAGTTTGGCATTATGTAAAATCTGATTATCGTGGTGTGTTATGGAGTATTTTTGTAAATCTTATGTATTTTATTATTTCTTGCATTATACATTTTGATTACATTGCTTTTGTGCTTGATTTATTGTTGATTAGGTTTTACTGCAGTGTTGTTTTTTGTTGTTGTTGTTTTTTAACTGTATATACATATGTCTGGTAGTGGATGTCTGTCACATCTCATTGTAATTTTATGTCAGACCTGACTGCAGTTGTGTAGGTTACTTCAGTTGTGGCTCTGTATTCCTGATTAAGACACACACACACACACACACACACACACACACACACACCGCAGAACCTCTTGTCAAATCTTACTGCACTTTTCATTTGGCTATCGTCAAGTGCCCAGAGTAAGGGCTGTGACCTATCAGACTGGGTTGCCATGTTAACAGCTCCTCTAATTGGAGTATTCTCTCTCTCTGTGTGTGTGTTCTCTATTTTTATTCTGGTCTACGTTTTATCTTAATGTAAATGTGATGCTCTCAGCTCTGTCCTTTCTGAAGCTTTACTTTGGCTGCCAACTGTCTCAAAGTTAAAACTTCTGAAGAGCATCTGTTTCTCTCTCTTAGGGAAGCAGAAGTATCTCTGCGCTAGCAGGAATGACTGCACCATAGATAAACTGAGGAGGAAGAACTGCCCGTCCTGCCGTCTGAGGAGGTGTTTTGAGGCTGGGATGACCCTGGGAGGTAATTCATATCTGCTCTATTCTTATGCACTGTATAGTGGTTATAGGGATAGTTCACCCCAAAATTAATAATTTAGTTACCCTCATGTTGTTCCAAATCGTTAGGATTTTCATTCTTCTCTGCAACAACCAATTTTACATTTTGTTCAAATTTTGGAAATTCTTCAGGTTTATTTTTTTGCATTTTACAATAGTTAATTGTGACCACAACTGTCTAAAAAAACATCAAGAAATCACGGTAAAGTAGTCATTTCGACTTGTGTGCTATTTTTCTAGTCTTTTGAAGCCTTACTATATTTTAAATGTGTGATTTTATGTGTGTGGAACAGGCCAAAATTTAAGTCACTTTTCTTCCCCTCCAGTGGGCAGATAACTGCTGTGAATCATCCAGTTGTGAACCGAATCAGTCCAATTTGTGAGCGAATCATTCAGTTTGATTTGTGAAACTCACAGTCACTTAGATCAATCATGGAAAAGAACTGACTCAAAAGAACAATTTGTTCACAAAATGACCTGAAATGACCTTAGCAGACAAGAATGATTTACATTTTGATAATGACATTGTTGGGTGAGCTATTCCTTTACAGCCCAGGCATAGTAATGAGAAGTTACTGGCTCGATCACTGCAAGGAGTAAGCCATCTTACCCTAGGTTGTCTCTTTAAGTCGTGGAAACAAATTCCACTGGCCCTGGTCGTGTGGTGATATGTAAAATTTAATTTGATTTGATGTGATATAACATGACAGATGGCTTAAATTACACAATTGACTATTGAGCCATCTACAGCACAGAAAATCATTTAGACTTTTGCTAGCTGGAGGGCTCATATTTCCGTACAATAGACATGTGTATGTGTGCATACAGGGTCTAAAATTACCTTTTTGCTACATCTGCCAATGGTGAGTGAATTGAGAAAAATGGCTGTAAATATTTCTAAAGGCCATGAAACTGCAATTGCACTAATTTTATTAAATTATAAATTTTTGTCCCTATGACAAGAATTATTTAGCTGTTTTTCACTTGCACATTATTGAAAGACTGTGTGAGATATATGTGTGTAAATATTATTATTATTATTATTTCTTTTTCATGCCTTAATGCGAGAATAATCCTATATGTGTCCTGACACATGCAGATCTGGAGAAAAATTATAATTTTAAACAAACTTCAGAAGGTACATTTTTCACTCAATCTCAAAAGATGAATTCAGACACGGTTTTAATTTACTTTTCTTTAAAGGGGTCATATAATGGTACATGCACTTTTTCAAGTTGATTGTACTGAAATGTGTCTTATTTATTTATTAACCTTTATTTAACCAGGTTATCTCATTGAGATTTAAAATCTCTTTTCCAAGAGAGACCTGGCCAAAATGACAGTGTATTGACAGCGCACAATAACAAATATGAACAACAAACACACGTACAACAACATAAACAATCAACATTAGACTATTTAAAAGTACAATTTATACATGCTATGGATTTTAAAAGAACTAATTATTGATAGTTACATATTAAAAACAGTCACAGTAATTTATAGCATCTATTTCCAAAGATTTCATGTAGTGTTTAAATTGACCAAAATAAATCAGATCTTGCAACTTCAAATCCAACTGCAATGTGTTCCATGTGGAAGGGGCTGCATAACTAAAGGCCTTCATACCGAGCTCTGTACGGACCTTAGGTACAGACAACAAATACCAAAGTAATTTACCAGAGCGCAAATTGTAAAGATAAGATGGGAGCATATCCAACATAGACTTGTAAATAAACGTAAGCCAATGAATGTGCCTCTTCACTGATAATGAAGGCCAGTTTGTCATTTTGTACAAAGTACAATGATGTGTTGATGCTTTACATTCAGTCACAAATCTTAGTGCACTATGAAAGACAGTATCCAACAAAGATAAACATTTAACAGGCACATTTCTGTAGAGCAGGTCACCATAATCAAGTGCAGTGAGAAATGTTGCAGCAACTAATCTCCTCCTGATTTTCCAAGAAAAACAGGCTTTGTTTCTAAAATAAAATCCTATTTTTAATTTGAGCTTCTGTACCAATTTATTAATGTGCAACTTAAAAGAGAGCTGATCATCAATTAATATACCCAAATATGTATACAGTTTGACTTGTTCAATCTGTTCCCCATGTATAGTAGAAATACTTGGAAGACTTACAAGAAACTTCTTAGATTTTGAAAAAAGCATAATCTTAGTTTTCTTAACATTTAAAACTAGTTTAAGATGATAGAGCTGTGCCTGAACAAGGTTGAAAGCAGATTGTAAACTTGAAAAAGCTTGGTGTAAAGTTGCCGCCTTAGAATAAATAACGGTATCATCCGCATAAAAATGAAAATGAGCTTGTGGGATGTCTTGACCCAAGTTATAAATATAAATAGTAAATAAAATTGGACCCAAGACTGATCCTTGCGGGACACCACTAGATACAGTCAGTGTTGCTGATTTAAGATTGTCAGAATAAACACACTGAGTTCTATCTGCCAAGTAATTGGTAAACCAATCTACAGTATGGTCAGAAAAACCAATATTATGTAGCTTTTTCAATAAAATGCAATGATCCACTGTATCAAATGCTTTAGATAAATCTATAAAAAGAGCTACACAGGTGTTCTTACAGTCCAATGCTTCAATAAAGTCATTAATGACCTTCATTGTTGCAGTAGTCGTACTGTGCTGCCTTCGAAACCCAGACTGTAATTCAGACAAAATGTGGTTGGAAACCAAATAGTCCTTTAACTGATCACCAACCAGAGTTTCTAAAACTTTAGCTAAAATTGGTAACTTACAAATCGGTCTATAGTTATCCAAATGGGCGGAATCACCTCCCTTTAATAGGGGGAGTACATAGGCCGATTTCCAGATTACTGGAACCTCATTGCAGACTAGAGTGAGATTAAAAATAATTGAAATTGGTTTAGCAATAAAATTAGCATCTTTTTGCAAAAAATAAGGCTCTAGACTGTCAGGGCCAGGAGATTTACTAGGGTCCAAGGCAACAAGAGCTGATTGCACATCCGCGACAGAGAAAGGCTTTAGGCAAAATACCTCTTCACTCGCCTCAGATTTCATTGGTGGAACTGATGAGTTTAAACAGTTTGTCACGGTTGAATTTCCTACAGGGAGCTGACACTCAAACAAGGAACCAGCTTCCACAACGTGCTTATTAAAACAATCCAACATTGCAGACTTTTCTGATATGACGGCTTTTTCATTGATAATATATGGAGGTAATTCATTATAAGCATTCATGGTGCATACCGATTTTAATGCTTTCCAGAATTTACGGGGATTGTTTAGGTTCTCTGTTGTAGCTGTTAAATAAAAATCTGATTTTGCTTTTTTAATAAAAAATGTGCAGCGGTTGCGCAGCTGTCTAAAACTGAGCCAGTCTGAATCTGTCCCAGATTGTCTTGCTTTAGCCCAGGCTTGGTTTCTCCGCCGAAGAAGATTAGCCAACTCCGGAGTAAACCATGGGTTATCCAGTCCCTTTACTCTTAACCTCTGAAAGGGAGCATGCTTATCCACAATTCTAATAAAACCATCATAAAAATATTTCCAAGCAAGCTCCACATTGTCAATAAGTGCAATTCTGTCCCATTCAAAGCTAGACAAATCATGCAAAAACGCCTGCTCACAGAAGTGCTTCAAGTTTCTTTTAAAATTTATTCTAGGTTTAAAAATTATTTTTAGGGATTTTTGCATTTCTTACTGCAGCAATAACACAGTGATCACTCAAATCGTTAGCAAACACACCTACATTTGAATATTTATGAGGTGTGTTTGTCAAAAACACGTCAATAAGAGTAGCTTTATTAGGATTTCTGACATTAGGTCTAGTAGGAGTATTTATTATCTGTGTAAGATTTAAACCATTACAGTGATTTTTAAAATTATCTGACGCAGAGGATAACCAATCCCAATTTAAATCTCCGACTAAAACAATATCACTGCAATCAAATTAATTTAAAAAGGTCATCAAACCAATAACAGTATAATGCTGACCTTTAGCTATTTCAAGGTTTAATACTAAGATCTCAAATTGTTTAACAGTAGACTGAGAAGATAAAATCCTGGTGTTAAATTTCGTCTTAAAATTTAAATTGCAACACCACCCCCCTTCTTTAGACGATCACAACGGAAAACTCTATAACCATTAATCCCAATGTCCTTATCTAAAATAGTTTTTTTAAGCCAGGTTTCAGAAATTACTAGGACATCTGCATCTGTTTGAATTGCCCATGCCCTAACCAAGTCCATTTTTGGTAACAGACTACAAACATTTAAGTGAATAAAACCGAATCCGTCCTGAATTTAAAGTCTTCAGGAGTACTAAGACTATTAATGAAAGGGCCAGGATTAGGATGTACATTTCCTGAGATTAACAATAAAATAAGAACCAGGCACTTCCTTTTCGAGGTGTAGATCGAGAGTCATTATAGGCATTAGGAACCAAAATGCGATTCATGACAATAAAGCAGTCCTTATAATCCAAGCAAACGAGAGTCGATATCCCTTAGTGATGATGAGTGATGCAGTTCCATAACTAAGACCAATGTCCGAGAACGTTCTTTCAGATGAGATGTAAAAGTATGTCCACACCTTTTGAGAATGGACCTCCGGTGTCTTTTCATTTCCTGTGTAATCCACTGCGATCAGCAGGAGAAAAGCTGCTGTTACAAACACCATTTTCGAGCGATGCACTATTCCGCGACCTCTGAAGTAGCTAATGATATTCGACTTCACAAGGAAGGGAACCACATCAAGCAATGCAATGTATAACACAACAAAGCAGAGCTAGTTTGTTCCCCGCAGATCCAGAGTGTGCCCAAACAAGGCCAGTCAGATCCTTCTCCCGTGCCAGCGAGGACATTTAAAATGGAATTATTAACACTGCTCAATGAAATCAAAAGAGCGCTGCGAAAAAATAATCTATTTTGCATCTACACAGATAAGAAAAATCAAAACAAAATTAATAACAA